CACGGTGTACATACAATTCAACAAACATAACCCAAGCCTAGGTCTGGGCTCACCACGGTGTACATACAATTTAACAAACATAACCCAAGCCTAGGTCTGGGCTCACCACGATGTACATACAATTTAACAAACATAACCCAAGCCTAGGTCTGGGCTCACCACGGTGTACATACAATTTAACAAACATAACCCAAGCCTAGGTCTGGGCTCACCACGGTGTACATACAATTTAACAAACATAACCCAAGCCTAGGTCTGGGCTCACCACGATGTACATACAATTTAAAAAACATAACCCAAGCCTAGGTCTGGGCTCACCACGGTGTACATACAATTTAACAAACATAACCCAAGCCTAGGTCTGGGCTCACCACGGTGTACATACAATTGAACAAACATAACCCAAGCCTAGGTCTGGGCTCACCACGGTGTACATACAATTTAACAAACATAACCGCAGCCTAGGTCTGGGCTCACCACGGTGTACATACAATTTAACAAACATAACCCAAGCCTAGGTCTGGGCTCACCACGGTGTACATACAATTCAACAAACATAATCATGAGCTTATAAATTAACTGACATTAATTCAATGAAACTAAACAAATGTATATTCCCTCCACCCGTTTCAGAATTATCACCATTTTTTTAAAATAATTATTTTTAATGAAACGAAGACCTGTATTTAATGTTTTAAACAAAAAATTCCTTTCGAATGTGAAATGAAAGATAATAACACAACTTAGAAGTGTAATCGTAGTCCCTATCCCCTAACATCAGCCGTGGACGACCTAACTACTTAGATGACGAGTAAACAGAATTTCTGATTAGATATTTAATAAATTCGCACCTCATATCCTAAACTGCTTCTGCAAATTTAACACAAAATGTTTTCTTAAAACTATCCCTTACTATAGGCGAAATTTCTTCTTATTGCTATACCGTCTTCCATATAAAACTATCACTTACTATAGGCGAAATTTCTTCTATTGCTATACCGTCTTCCATATAAAACTATCACTTGCTATAGGCGAAATTTCTTCTATTGCTATACCTCTTCCATATAAAACTATCCCTTACTATAGGCGAAATTTCTTCTATTGCTAGACCGTCTTCCATATAAAACTATCACTTGCTGTTGGTGAAATTTGTTCTGTTGCAATAACGTCTTCCATATAAAACTATCACTTGCTGTTGGTGAAATTTGTTCTTTTGCAATACCGTCTTTCATATAAAACTATCACTTGCTGTTGGTGAAATTTGTTCTGTTGCAATACCGTCTTCCATATAAAACTATCAATTGCTGTTGGTGAAATTTGTTCTGTTGCACTACCGTCTTCCATATAAAACTATCACTTGCTGTTGGTGAAATTTGTTCTGTTGCAATACCGTCTTCTGTGATCTGGAAAAGGCAACAAGACATCTGATATAACAAAAAATGGTAATCAAAGACGCGTGATCAACATGCACAGTGAAAGACGTCATTTCCATGAATCCATGACACCAAAGTCCATGACACCAAAGTCCATGACACCAAAGTCCATGACACCAAAGTCCATGACACCAAAATCCATGACACCAAAGTCCATGACATAGTGAAAACACTGTTAATAATAGTCATATCAACGATCTCATGTCATCAAAAAGACCAGGTAACACAAAGGTGTTCCGCAAGGCTTGCCACTACTAAAGGATGCATCTATTACTTTTACATTGGAACTGCGATGGTGAAATGGAATGACATGAAAACAGAAAGCAACAACAAGTCATGATTTAAAAGTCCATTTAACGAAGTAGAGCATCACTTTTCAACTTTGAACTGATTCGCTCAATGCTTCCAGTTTATTTACCATTTGCATTGGTCTTGAAAGGGACTATTATTTTTATGCAGCATAATAAATATATAAAAACTGTATTTGAATGAGTTAACTGACCGAACAATCAAAAACAAAAATATTCATTGTCTGGATTTGTAAAGATAACTAACCGGGCAGAAAAAAAATGTCTCTAACCCCCAAACCCCCCTCTCTCCCTATCTCTGTCTCTGTCTCTGTCTCTGTCTCTCTCTCTCTCTCTCTCTGCATATATAAATATATATACTAGCTGAAGTACCCGTTCTACATCCGGGTGGCGAGCAAACTTATCGTTAAATAGTGATAAAGCCACGAACGTTATTTATTGGGTGAAAAATCCTTTGTAGACCATTTCTTGAGGTAAACTCAGTAGTTTTCTTAAGTTGACTTTTGCCAGTTCCTGAGACTTTTACCTTCACTTTCAGAGAGCACTTTTTGTTTTTTTCAAAATGTAACATGAAGTTGTCCATGACTGAAAATTGAAGAAGGCAAATAAATACCAATTTAATTTAATTTTGTGTCTGCCCTTTTGTTGATGGTCATAGCGAAAGAAGGTTTCCATGGAAACTGTTTTGATCTTCATGCAAAGGGAAGTTCAGGCTCAGTGGGTGCAAGAATAACTCTAAGAATAAATACCCTGGTACCTTATAAAAGATTCGGACATAATTTCACGGTCAATGACTTTCCACATCATTTGCTTGACAACCATTCTGATGTCGTATCAAAGATAGCTTGTTATGTCAAGGTTTCGCTCCAATATTGCTACGACACAAACGTTTAATTTAAATCTTTGAGGAGGCATAACTCCAGGTGTTAAGCTCTTCAAACACTCCATTTGATAGTTGTCTGCCTTTTCTTTCTGAATAGCATCTATGCTGCAGCTTTTAATTTCAGATACAACATGTCTAAGGAAACTTGCATTAATTTCGAGGGTCTTGTGTTTTAATTTTGGAGTCTGAAATGGGCGGTTAGAATTATTGTCATCTCTTGAATGGATGACCTCAGGAAAGACATCATCAACCATCCATAAAGAGCATATAAAGCCTTTGTCCGTCCGGTTTTAGATTATGCATCTTCAGTCTGGGACCCATTTACCGAGAAGAGCGTCGACAGGTTGGAGGCGGTCCAGCGACAAGAAGCACGCTTTGTCCTAAACCGCTACAGGAATACCTCTAGTGTTGGCAGCATGCTGGACACTGGGCTGGTCACCATTGGGGGAACGACGACGACAATCCAGGCTCTCCATGATGTACAAGATAAATAATGGGCTGTTTCTAGTTGTAGTGTGTAACGGGCTACTGTTGTCAAGCACTAGTGTGTTGTATACAGCCTACCGGAAGTCTTACTCGTTTTTACTCTCATCACGTGACAAATCAATCGACTAAGCGACTCCCATTCATTTTGTTCAAAATATCTTAATAGCTCCTTTACTAAAAATGTATAGAAGACATTAGAACATTACTGAATGTGAAGCTTGCATATTAAGTCGATCTTTTGACCCCACCCCAACAGTTGCCTCAAGGTGTGTATTTCAAGATCTCTCGAATATACTTATGAACATTTCCATCAATAAACCCAAGTTTCCCAATACAAACTTATAACTTCCGGGCGCCGATCTGCAGGCGACTCGATTTCATCTGTGCATTTTTTTCAGCTTTCGTAATAGTTTAAAGGTTTTTACAACGTTTTCTTGTGGAATCAAGGTGTGTTGAATGTGTTTTATCTCATTTGAATGATTAGATCTATCTTCTGTTTTTTACCTCGATGAAAAGTGATGACATGGATTTTTTGGACATCGTTGCCATACACCAAGAGCCATCCATAGCCGCCATATTGGTAACTATTGAGACGCCATCTTGTAAACAAATGGCAAGTTCAAACCAACTAGTTAAAGACAAAAGGCGTTCCCATAATCTTGGAGAAGAAAACCTCGTTCAAACAAAAATCCAAGACTCTTCTCACTCAAGAACTCAAGACCCACACCTCAAGCAAGACGTGGACAAGATGGAGCGAATTCAACGTAACGCGGTGCGTTTTATCGCTCGAGACTACAAATCCACCACTCGTGGCTTCGTCACTGGCCTCTTAAAAAGATTTTACATCCCCCCTTAAAGACAGAAGAGAGGGACTCCGCCTGATATACTTATGTAAAGCGGTCATGGGACTGGTGCCGGCCATCCCAGCAGGCACGTACCTCCCCCACAGAAGCCGGGTAGACTGATCAGAGCAAAACGCTCAATGAACACGGAATTCACCACTGGCATTCCCATAAACAATTACACCAGAAACAATAGTAAATGCTTCAAAGTGCCTCAGTGCAACACAGTGCAGTGTCAACAACCTTTCTTCTCACGCACAATAATAGCATGGAACCACCTGGACAATGGCACTTTGAACTCGACATCGGTCGAAAGCTTCAAGGCTGCCCTGACGTCAGCTAGGAGCTGTTAGAATAGCAACATCATACCCCCAACCGTTGCACAGATGTCAGTACATGGATGCAGCAACGAACACTACCAGAACAAGAAGAGTTATGTATACCACGAATGTCTTGCTACAGGAACAACGAAAAACACAAACAACATTTCAAGGCCTGAGGAATTACATGGATTTTTTGTACGATGCCTGTAAAGAAATAAAGATTCATTTATTTGGATCAATAAAAATATCTTATCTCATCTTATCTTTAGGTGTTTATACTTTAGAATTTTAACTTAATTAAGTTAAATAACGAATGTGTAACCCACCAAGTTTGTTTGCTTCGAGGGTGTCTTAGATAGGACATTTAATTCTTACCTAACTTATATAGAAACTAGGACACAAATAAAATACCAAGCTTTCTTACAAGGTTTCTAAACCGGGACGCACGCTGAATCTATACATCCAAAGAAGACATAGCGATAGTATATAGATATATTGTATGGATCTCTTACCATCACTTTTGATGGGTAAAAATCCCTAGTACATAATACTAACTTATAAAGAACATTTTAAACGTGATCATTAAAGAGTAAAGAATTGCACGAGACAACGTCGATTTCTCCCCTTCGAACGACGACTCCGGGGCCCGGATCATAACACAAACACTCTCAAGAAAAAGATTTTAAATAATTTAGGTATATCACTAAAAAAAAAGAACACGAAATATTGGTATCTTTTTTTTTTTATTTCCCAAGTATAAGTATTATATTATAATTATTGTTTTAATTATTCTACTTAAGCAACCATATGGGTCAAATTACTTTGAATAATGTATACATAGATTGTTTGGTCACCCGATTAGATAAAAATGAATTGCTAAGCGCCATCACCGTCGGACAGTCAGCTTTGATAAACGTATGCACGCCTAACACGGCTAATAATGGAATGAAGGTGTCATTGTTCGGATTGGCGTCCACGGCGGTGGATCTCCAACTGTGGCAGGCGTATTGACCCCCGGGGCGTCGTGCAGCACCGGCGCTGAAGGTCTCGTCTGATAATACGCCGTGGTATATGACGGAATGTAACGGTTGTCTGGTGTGCTGTTGGGATGTTCTGGAACTTTGCTTCCGTTTCCGGTCCTGTCAGCACAATCATACTCTCGAAGAATTCTAGAAAACAATTTATAAACTTTAGTTTTAATAACAGCCTTCGTGTGTAAATGCTTGAGATTCGTTCTAAATATTTTAATAAAGGAAAAATATATGTTCAAAATGTTGGCAAGTATTGGAAGAGCAGGTGAAGTTTTTTCGGGCTCAGACATCACTAAAATGTTAGCAAAAAGAACGATGACAATATCTTGCATGCAGTTAGACAAAATCTTGCATGCAGTAAGACAATATCTTGCATGCAGTTAGACAAAATCTTGCATGTAGTTAGACAAAATCTTGCATATAATTTGACAAAATCTCGCATGCAGTTAGACAAAATCTTGCATGTAGTTAGACAAAATCTTGCATGCAGTTAGACAAAATCGTGCATGTAGTTAGACAAAATCGTGCATGTAGTTAGACAAAATCTTGCATGTAGTTAGACAAAATCTTGCATAAAGTTTGACAAAATCTTGCATGTAGTTAGACAAAATCTTGCATGCAGTAAGACAATATCTTGCATGCAGTTAGACAAAATCTTGCATGTAGTTAGACAAAATCTTGCATATAATTTGACAAAATCTCGCATGCAGTTAGACAAAATCTTGCATGTAGTTAGACAAAATCTTGCATGCAGTTAGACAAAATCGTGCATGTAGTTAGACAAAATCGTGCATGTAGTTAGACAAAATCTTGCATGTAGTTAGACAAAATCTTGCATAAAGTTTGACAAAATCTTGCATGTAGTTAGACAAAATCTTGAAATGTATTTATCACATTCCAGTTAGTTTGTATTTACTTAAATCATTCATACAAGAGCTAGTATTTTCTTATAATAGATTTTAGGACATCAGAGCGCATTGAGCATGCTAAATAATGATGGTACATTTTACATAATAATAATAATAAAGTTTATTTGAAAATCACGCTTAATCCCCAAAGGCGCGAGGCGCAGTACATAGTCTAGTATATTAAAAGAGAAATGAAACAATCTGTAATGTAATAAATCCAAATGAACAATGATATATCCGTTGGCCACAAAGGGAGCTATCGACATATCTTTATTTATTTTCAGCGAATTTTATTAGTAAATTGTTTATTTTATGACATAACATACGGCAAATATGATTGACAGAATATCTAAAAACTGACCTGAAGAACTCGCCATCTTCACTTTGTAGAACAACTATACCAGGCTCAAGCTCGAGGGCATAAAGGGGCTTAACTGTCTGTGCCGGCAACACTCGGTGCAGCCTCTGATTACATCCCATGGTCTCCTCTTCTCTTTGACTTTTAAAAAAAAAAAAAGAGGAAAAATTAAAATGCATGAATAGTAATTGTCACTATTCTTTTAAAACGTATATTTTTGCTGTTGTCTCACATCAATTCTTTATTCTTGTTATTTAGTTGTTCCTCCTTCGTTTATAAAACTCAAACAATCTCAACTAAATAGGTATTTTTTTTCTCATCCGTATCAGTATCTTCACCCTTCACCTTTTGTTTTCTTCTGGTTGTGTGTGTGTGAGTGTGTGTGTCTTTTGTTGGTAGCTTTACTTCTTTTATTTCGAGACAATTCTGATCCAGTTGAGAAGCAACCAACTACCGTGCACAAGTCTTGACCCTGGCAGCAATGAACTTGACTTGAGCTCAACGTAAATATCCTTGACTCACCGACAGGGCCATGTCCAGAGCCAGTAAAGTACAAACACGAAGCAGGCCGTGATGATAAAAGCCAGGATGAGATGGCTGAATTGAAAGCCTCCAACCCTGAAACTAAATGCAACTTTGTTATTTGTTGTTATTGCTGTTTGTTTCTTAAATTAACATTCAAAATAAAAAAGTAAGTGCCAAATTTCACTCATGCAAGTTATAATAACAACTCCTGTGAATAATTCATCCATTTTGATCGTACATCCTTTCTTGAGAAAACTGCGACAACTCTGACATACGTTTACTAACTGAACATACGATTAATCCCCAACAACCCCAGCAATTATTAACCAAGCGCTTTCCTTCGCCACCTTTCTGATATTTAGTGGAAATAAAATAAACTATACTTTTTAATACTTAAAGTATTTTTCGTATTCAATTAAGTGAGTTAGCTGGAGTTTGTGACGTCAGCAGGGCCGGTTTTCCATAAACCCAAAATAGGTCATAGCATAAGGCGCAACGGTCAGAGAAGCGTACGTACAGAAGAAATAACAGGGAAATATTGACAAAGAGTTCAGTATGCGAACAAGCTATACCCAACGTGTTTCATCCATACACTAGCAAAATACCCGCGCTTCGCAGCGGAGAGCCTTTTTTTAAGGAAAAAAGGTAAGAAATTATCCCTAAAATGAGCGAAAAGTTACCAATAGTTATATGTTAGGGATTTCTTTGTATCCCACGTTGGCAGTTCAGCCCTCCGGTTGTAGCGAAAAGTTACCAATAGTTATATGTTAGGATTTCTTTGTATCCCACGTTGGCAGTTCAGCCCTCCGGTTGTAGCGAAAAGTTACCAATAGTTATAGGTTAGGATTTCTTTGTATCCCACGTTGGCAGTTCAGCCCTCCGGTTGTAGCGAAAAGTTACCAATAGTTATAGGTTATGATTTCTTTGTATCCCACGTTGGCAGTTCAGCCCTCCGGTTGTAGCGAAAAGTTACCAATAGTTATATGTTAGGATCTCTTTGTATCCCACGTTGGCAGTTCAGCCCTCCGGTTGTAGCGAAAAGTTACCAATAGTTATATGTTAAGGATTTCTTTGTATCCCACGTTGGCAGTTCAGCCCTCCGGTTGTAGCGAAAAGTTACCAATAGTTATATGTTAAGGATTTCTTTGCATCCCACGTTGGCAGTTCAGCCCTCCGGTTGTAGTATGACCAGGTTGTGCGATGAGTTCACTCTTGAGCATTCAACGTATAGTTGGCCATGCGAACAGCAATCCTGCCTCAAATCAAGGCCAACTTGTTGTAGGGTCTGTCCTTGAGACGTAATTGTCATTGCAAAGCAGAGTCTTACTGGAAGTTGGTGGCGATTTAATTGAAATGGGTGATCAGAGGGTAAAACTGTCTCCCCTGAGCCACCGCCAGTGAAAATAGTTGCCTTGAATAGGTTCTTTTGCGGAAACGTGATTTAAAGTCTGGTGCCGTTACAAAGTTTTGGTGGCTGTAAGTTTCGCAGTAACATTAGTGGTGCCCCCACTTTCAGAATTAGATTATGTTGAGGAGTGCCAGGAGGATTTAGCGAGTTGAGAAACTCTGTTGGATAGTGCTCTGCGTCTTCCACAACTGAAGCCACAATTTTTTAGCTTCTGAAGGAAGTCTTGAATTAAAACGTGGTTGATAGTTGTAGTCACGTCATTTCTCGGTGTAAGGATAGTTCTCTCCCTTGACTGAAGCTGCCAGCACCCATACCCATCTGAAGAGCAGAGAACCCTGTGGCTATTTGTTGTCGTCTTTCAAATGAGCCCTGATGTTTAATTTCAGAGAAAGAACAATGATTTGAGGCCAAATGTATGAAGATTTAAGACATGCTTTAACTTCGTCAGCCCGTGTTCCTCTTGGCACAACCGGTAGGGTTAGCCGGAAGTCTCCAGCCAGCAGAACTGACAACCCTCCCATTAGTTTGTTGATATCTTTGAGGGTCCTGTCTAAAGCCTCAACACCCCCCCCCCCTGGGTACCGTGGTCGATTCATCCTAGAAAATAAGCCTACAATGTCTGAGCACTTCAGCCATGTACCTTTGCTTTGATATGTTGTTTGATATCTTTGAGGGTCCTGTCTAAAGCCTCACCACCCCCCCCCCCCTGGGTACCGTAGTCGATTCATCCTAGAAAATAAGCCTACAATGTCTGAGCACTTCAGCCATGTAGCTCTGCTTTGATATGTTGCACATAGACGGAGATTCAATAGGGCTGAGGTTCAGAGGTAGCTTAAAAGCCCAATGAGCAGTTCTTCCACCCTTTAGAAGAGTGGCAGCGATGCCAGATAAAGCCACATCTATAGCAATGTTTCCGTCCGCTCGGATTTTTTAATCAGGAGGTTTATTAGGAACATCTTACCAGTTCCACCTGGAGCATCAAGAAAAAACACCGAGCCTGTGGCCGACACAACGCTCCTCATGACTTGCTCATAAACTGTCTTTTTCTGAACATTTAACAGCAGCTCGTTTTCTGTAACTATGTTGGCCAGTTGCGAGGTGTTGTAAGATCTGTCTTTCAAGTATTCGAGATCTGAAGTAACTTCTGCAAGTTCTCTGGAAGGTGTAGGCAAACCGTAATGATCAAGAGATTGACCTCCAGTAGCAGTCACGTAGTTTTCAAGCAACTGCAGACTCCTGTTATAGATCAAATGTAATTGCTGGTGGAATTCTGTTTCTATATGATGTCCTTCAGTCTGTCTCGTAACATCTTCTGATATGTTATCTTTATTTTTTGCCCATAGTTTTAAGGGGTTTGCCTTTTAGCAGAAGACCAGCAAGACAGCAAAGAGCTCACGGATCTTTTGAGGTGAGCGATAAAGGGCAGCTTCCTGTAGAGTCTCGTCCCAGTTTTTGCTGTCCTGTTACAAACCCAGTTACGTGCAGGCCGACTGATAGGTTAGATGTAGAACACGATCAACTGTTCTGAGATATTCGAACGACGTTGGTCCTTTGATTTTGTTGAGCAGCAATCGAAGAAATTAACATTCTGAGTTATTCGGGTGCACAGTGTAGACCCGACCCAGCACATTATCCTTTCTTCACACCCAAAACCCCTGGCACAGTTTTCCCCCCTGCTTCCACCGACGAAACATGTTGTTTGTCCGCACATAATATGACGGAATTTCATAATAATAAAGTTCTTTGATATAATCATCGTGGTTACAGAGTTCAAAGAACGCTAAAAGAGTCGTTTTTTGGTGGATTGCATACTTTATCGACACCACTGGCCTGTCTGGAGTAAATTATTTGTCCGTTCTCAAGATGCAAAGAAAGATGAACCAACCGGGGGGGGGGGTGTAACGTTCATGAATGGGGAAACAGAAGATGCGTCAGGCTGCCTCAGAACTACTCATGTAACGACCAGCTTCATATCGAGACACCACGTCATTTGTATCTTGTATTGCAAACACTCCCTGGTCCCTCTCTTTGTTTACATACTTGCAGATGTATTTTGTAGAGATTACTGAATTGCAAAATTCTACATTGATGTGAGCATTGAAGGAGCGGGACAGCCCAGGAAAATAAGGGACCACCCATCTGTTGTCGATATGCATACCACCATTGAGGTTTATGACATGACCTCCTTTAGACGCAGCGCGCCGGAGGTAACCGTCTTCACCGGTCTAAGTTGACGTCTTCACCGGTCTAAGTTGACGTCTTCACCGGTCTAAGTTGACGTCTTCACCGGTCTAAGTTGACGTCTTCACCGGTCTAAGTTGACGTCTTCACCAGTCTAAGTTGACGTCTTCACTGGTCTAAGTTGACGTCTTCACCGGTCTAAGTTGACGTCTTCACCGGTCTAAGTTGACGAGTTAAAGGATCGCGGGTACTTTTAATTAAATTTCCCACAACGATTTGATTAGCACCAAATTACCTCATTTGAAAAGCGCTTTTGTATTCGCGAATATTGTTCAAGAAATGCTCACTTTGAGGATGGTCGCCATGTAAGAGGGCATCAGAAGCTGAGGGAGCTTGTGTAAAGGAGTGAGACAAACTTTACCAGCGTTAAAGCACAAACAAGGAGACACGAATTTCCACCGGCGATCTTGGCAATAGTCACAGACAACATCCATGAATCTAATGCGTATTGTTTCGTCAGATTCATAATCCATCTTTGCGTCGTACGAAAATCCACAATCGTTTTTTTTAGCAAAACCTTTCGCTTTCGCATGAGTCGCTTTTTATGATTGGTATCGTACCTACAAACAGCGTCTCTGTTAACTTGGGGTTTTGCCTGGCAGTATTTAGCGACAGCCTCTCTATGATCTTGTGGATTTTTCTGTCAGTATTTGTTTCAGTCTAAGCGCTTCAGAAAATCTACCACGACGTCTGAAACGCCTCTTTCTTTCTGGTGTGTCATTGCTTGGAGTGCAGCTGTTGTGATGAAGCATTTGAGTTTCAATGTTTCTTTCAACTACGTTAGTATCTGGTGTACTCGTGTGCAAGTGACATTAGGCTTCTGTCAAGCGTTGCAAGCATATAAGCGGTTGCATAGATAACTTGTTGTCCGCTGCCATTATTCCAGGAAAACACAACACGATAATAATAATGCTTATCACTTTTCACACAATACGTCACAAGATACTAAGCATAATAGATAAAACAGCACGCAATCACAATATTTTATTGTTAATTTTATTTATATCGCTCATATAAGGAAAACAAAACGAATTCGGGGCCCCCGGTTGTGACCGTTCCAGGTAGAGTTTCGAAATGACACCTGCTTAACTTTTCTAAGTAAGCTGTAATGAATAAGCCTGCAAAATTTCAGGCTTCTATTTGCAGGGGAAGTTTGAGAATTAGTGATGAGTCCTTGAGTGAGTGAGTGAGTGAGTGAGTGAGTGAGTGAGTGAGTGAGTGAGTGAGTGAGTGAGTGAGTGAGTGAGTGAGTGAGTGAGTGAGTGAGTGAGTGAGTGAGTGAGTGAGTGAGTGAGTGAGTGAG